GCCTTACTATAGCCTTACCATCGTGAAAAAATCCAAAAAAATAAAAAGTCCCCGAAATGCCTTAAAATGCAAGATTAGGTCCTAAAACATGCTGCCAAGTGATTATTTTGTGTTTTAAACTCCAAAAAGTATTTTTTATGAATATTTCAAAAATCACCCAAAACATGCCTTACTATAGCCTTACCATCGTGAAAAAATCCAAAAAAATAAAAAGTCCCCGAAATGCCTTAAAATGCAAGATTAGGTCCTAAAATATGCTGCCAGGTGATTCTTTTGTGTTTAAAAGTCCAAAAAGTATTTTATATGAATATTTGAAAAATCACCCAAAACACCCAAAATCACCCAAAAATCGTGAAATTTGTAATTCTTTGTAATTAAATTTATTTGAATATTCTAAGAAAAAGAAATTTGCTAAGATGTTTGGATAATCTGTTGATTAATCTTTGAAAAAGTATTTTTCAAGACTTTATCTTTTCTGTATGTTTCTCATCAAAATATAGTGTTTCGGGAAAAAAATTTGAATTTTTTTTTTTGAAAACTTTTTAGAAAAAACATTTTTGGGAAAAACATTTTGGTCAGATGTTGAAAAATTATGAAATTCTTTGAAAAGAAATTTCAAACGTTTTTCAAAAAAAATCCTCATAATAGTTTTGATGAGGAACGTGCAGAAAATAGGACATTTTCCAAAAAGAAATTTTCATATTTTTTCATCTGACCAACAAGACAAGCAATTTCAGGATTTTGCAAAAAAAAATCATTTTCCTAACATTTTCATGATACTTTTTCATTCATTTTTCAACTGACCAACGTGACATGTATAATTAAAAAAAAAGTTTTTCTAAAGAATTTCTCAAAATGCATTAATTTGGTGAGAAACATGCAGAAAAGATAACATCTTGAATAACTTCAACTAAAGTTAAGCAGTCACTGTACGTGTAGTTAAACCTCTTCATTTAACGCTTGCAGTTTGTTGCACTAACTGTAAAATGTGATTTTATAAACAGATACAAAATAAACTGTTTATTTATTTACCAACCTAAACCCATTGCTTTAAGTCGTCTAAGTCTAATAAAATAAATAAATAAAATCAATTGACCATAACTGTAATCATTATCTTCTCAGCATTTATTGAGGCTTATCAAATACAATGTGTTACATTGTTTATCACAACAATTAGCAATAAACTTCTGACAGTGGAGTTCTACTGAAAGTAAATGTACTTAATACAGTACGATGTAATGGTGCTGAAGTACACTCAGCCATACTAGTTATTAGGTACAAAAACAGACAAACCCGTCAACATGCCTTGAGGACGTCCTTCAACCCAGTCAGGATCACTCACTCCTCAAGGACAACGCGTGTATCGATGACGTCAGTTCCATCTCTCACCGTTATGACACCCACCGTCCCTCCTCCTGTGGACGTCTCCTCCACGTCCGTACTTCGCGTAGACACATTCCTTACGGGCAGCAGAAGAAGTTGAATTTAAGACATTTTTACTGCACGGCCAACAGAAAAGTCCAAAACAAATCACTAAATTATTGAGAAAACAATTATTTAAAAGTCCTCACCTCCACAGTGGGCAGCGTCGTCCTTCACACAGTGGAGTCGGCCCAGCATGACAACTGTTGTTTTCCTGTGTTTAGTCCTTCAAAACAAAGGACAAAAGGTTCAGTTAATGTTGACCGTCTCTGGAATCTATGTTCGAATCATCCAGTGTGAAAACTTGGAGTTTTTTTAAAACGTAAATATTTGATAAATAAAAAAGGGGAACTTGATGATGAACTCTATGATGAAGAAGGAAAAGTATTCTAATGCTTACGTCATTTTTCCTTTTTTTTTCAACAGCTTTTCCATTGTGAAATCCAGCGTTCCACTCCTGGTCTTAAGGAACCAGTCGAGATGTTGGTCCAGCCCCACAACGAAGCATCTTTCTGGGTCGGCACATGTGACGCCAGCAGGTTCTGCTTCAACCTGGGAATGGTGAGAGGAAAAAAAAATTATTTTTACCGTTCCTCATGAAATTTAATATCCCTTCTGACATTTGTGACACAAAAGAAAAAATCATTTTGAGGCTCAAACATTTTCTAGATTAGAGAGAAATTCTGTCTTAAATAAATCTGGGTCTAGATCAGTGGGTCAGCCCCTCCCCACCCCAAAGCCACGCCCCTGTGACTTTAAATACTATTGAGAACATGATAACATGTGTATTTTTATGTAAACATTTATGTGTGTGTATGTGTGTGTGTGTGTGTGTGCAAGTGAAAGGCAGAGAGGGGGGAGGAGGACAGACAGGGACAGACAAAGACAGTGAAGGTGCCCTCATATGTCCAAATCAACTTATGCCCTCTGTGTGTGTGTGTGTGTGTGTGTGTGTGTTTCAGAGTAATAACAGACACAGCCATTATTGGATTTCAGGACGAGTGAGTATGACGGAAGACTGAGAATTAGACAGAGAGAGAATGAGGAGGTGGGAGGAGAGAGAGAGAGAGGGAGAGAGAGAGAGAGAGAGAGGTTGGTAAAAACAAGAAATTATTCTTTACTTGTTTCTTCTCCATGATGCCTGTCTCCTCCTGACTCCTCTCCTCCTGGAGCTCCCGTCTCCTCCTGACTCCTCTCCTCCTGGAGCTCCCGTCTCCTCCTGACTCCTCTCTTTCAGGTGTGTGTTGTCATGGCATCGGCCGTGTGTGTGCTGTTGTGTGTTTGTGTGCGTGCGTGTGTCTCCTTCAACGTGGACACATCCTTTCCACTCTTAAAAACCGGAGGAGACCAGACGTTCTTTGGCCTGTCGGTGGCGCTGCATGAAGACCTGAGGACAGGGGAGCACATGTAAGTCGGGGTTACTTCCTGAAAACAAGCTCCATTTTTTTTTTCAACAATTAAACAGACAAAGAAAATTCCAAGAATATACACAGAAGAAACTCTTACCTTTGATAGGCTGTTGGTTGGAGCTCCATTGGCCGGGGCGGAGCCTGGCGTGCCAGCCAATCGCACCGGGGGAGTCTACAGCTGTCCCATCAGTGAGGGTCAGAGTGCGGAGTGCAGCAGGATGAAGCTGCTCGATCCAGGTGTGACTCATCCACCCATTCAACCACTGACCAGTGAAGGGGAATCAAACCCCAAACTCCATGTTAGTTCGTTTGGATGCAGTCATTCTAAACCAGCTGTGGAGCAGGGGTCATGAGGTCACGTGTTTGTGTTTCAGAGGTGAACCTGTCAAAGGACCTGATAGAAGACATGTGGCTGGGTGTCTCTGTGGTCAGTCAGGCTCCCCCTGGTGGCCGTGTCCTGGTGAGTTTACCTTCTGTTTTTTTTGGGATTTGACCCTGGTCGTGGTTCTGACCCCCGTCCTCCTCCTTGACCTCCAGGTGTGTGGTCATCGCTTCGTCAAACTCTACGGGCCTCTGGCCATCCGACAGATGATTGGACGATGCATCCTGCGGGGAAATGACCTGCGCTACAACGACACGGACATGAACTGGCAAAACCTGGCGCAAACGTGCAGGTGAGTCACATGACCTTGTGTTTTTGGTTCAATGTTTAAGGATCAAAGACTGAATAAATAACTCTGTGTGTGTGTGTGTGTGTGCGTGTGCGCAGTCACGTCGGTGATGTCAGAGGTGAGGTCATGTGTAATGCTGGGATTTCAGCTTACATCACTCAGAGTGAGGTCATTATCGGGTCACCAGGAAGCTACGAATGGCAAGGTACGGTTCTACTGCGTTCCGTTCTGTACTGAACCGTTCTACTAGAGTTTGCATTTGACCTTTTGACCTGCTACCATCTCCACAAACTCCTCACTCTGTGTGTGTGTGTGTGTGTTAGGAAACGTGCACATGACTTGGTTGAACCCCGATGACCTCTTTGACTCACAGAAAACTTCCTTCATCAACATGAAAAGCAGAAACCTTTACATCGGTGCGTCCGGCATCACATCCTGTGAATGACATCATCTCTGATGTCACAGCCGGCGTCCACTCATCTTTGCCTGTGTGTCTTCCAGGTTATTCTGTCTCTCTGTCTCAACATGTTCTGTCACATGATGATGTCACCATCATCACAGGTGAATGGCAGCTTCTCTCTGATTGAGTTCATGATAATTGATCACGTTAATGTGATTGGCTGAGTTCATGATAATTGATCACGTTAATCCCGTTGATGATTGGACGAGGCTCTCATGATGAAACTGATTGACAGGCGCTCCGAAAGACAGTAAAGATGACGCTCGCGGCTCCGTGCTGTTGGCAGTGAAGGCGTCCAATCGGCTGCTTCCTCGTGTGACTCTGCGCGGCCAACAGACTGGTTCCTACTTCGGGAATGCGGTGGCGACCGCTGACATCAACAATGATGGGTAAACACGTCGTGCGAGTCGCTTCCTAGTTTGCGAAGGCTCTCTTCCTGTTTTTCTGGTTCAAACCAGAGCTCGTGTCTCTGTGTTATCAGGTGGGACGACCTTCTGGTGGGTGCTCCGTTTTTCTTTAATAACCAACAGGAAGTTGGCGGAGCGGTGTATGTTTACATGAATTTAGGTGGAAGGTTTGATTCCAGGCCCAGTCAGGTGCTGACAGGACCAGTTGGATCTGCCTTTGGAATGAGCCTCAGTGCCGCAGGAGATCTGGACCAAGACGGATTCATGGGTGAACATCACTGACACGACACTGATAAAAGATGTCATCGTTAAGGATAATCAATAACGCATGATCAGTTTACCACCAGTCAATATTCCTCCTCTCTGCTGTGATCCAGACTTTGCAGTTGGAGCGCCGTTTCATCAAACAGGAAGTGTGATGATCTGGAGAGGAAGCAGAGATGGAATTTCAACACGACCCAGTCAGGTCAGCTGACATGTGTGATGATAGTTTTTTTCATACTGATTTTTGATCCTATTGACTGAAATGTTAAGCACTGATGTTTGTAGTTAACATTAGCATGGTGGCTAACATGTTTCAAACGTCACTTACCAAATACTTTTACTTGAGGCAATCAATGAAGTAATTCTGATATCCAGAGGCACTACGCTTCCCCCTGCAGGTCATCCATGGCAGCAGCGTGTCACCACTTTTCAGGACCTTCGGTTACTCTCTGTCCGCTGGCCTGGATGTGGACAAGAACCGTTATCCTGACCTTTTAGTTGGGTCTTTGGACGACACCGTTGTTCTGCTCAGGTACATCAAGCTGTCAATCACACTTTTGGCCACGCCCAGTGCCACAAACAACAACTTTGTTCCATGTGTGTTTTCATTTGTCTGTCTGTCAGAACCCGTCCTGTCGTACACCTGAGTAAAAAGATCCAGGTTTCTCCAGAGGCCGTTGATCCAAACAACTGTCACTTCTGGTGAGTTTCACATCCAGGAAAGACTACGAGGCTCGTAAGAAACACGATCACGATCACGATCAGGCTAAAGAGGGAGCACGCTGCCAGTCAGACAGTTAGCAAACAGAAGCTAACAACGGGGCTAAAGGAAATGATAACGTAAATGACAGTTAGTTACTAGTAGGAATCACAAATAACCAGCCACTAACTCTGTGTGTTTGTGTGACTCAGCATTCAGGTACAGGTGTGTTTCTCCATCAGCTTCAGCTCAGACCAGAGCCACACTGAAAACATCAGTAAGTTAAAAAAAAAAAAAAAACACACACACACCTCATCAACAGACACATAAAAAAAAAGAAACCATTCAATTTAACAGAAGTTTCTCATGATGCACTTGGTTTGTCTCGCAGGAATCCAATTCACTGTCGCTGCCGATGTAACCAGCCTCAAGCCCCGCCTCCTTTTCAGTGACAACGGACAAAGCAGACTGTCCGGTTTCCTGACTGTGAGGAAAAGACATTGCCAAATCCTGAGAGTGGGACTGCAGGTGAGTTCACAGGAGGCACAGCCTTCAGGTCGCTGGGTCGAAGGTTCAGCCAAGGCAGACCGAGTCCGTGGACATGGAACCAACGAGACCAGGCACCGAGTGTTTGTCCTGGAGAGTTAGACAAAGTGAAGGAAGGCAGCTCGGCTAACGCTGCTAACAGACGGACCAAGCTAATGCCCCAAAGCTATCAACACGGAGGTGTTTTCTTGTGTGTCTTTTCAGAGTTTGTTCAAAAACTATCTGGAACCTTTAGTGTTTTCTCTCAATGCTTCGCTGAGCGAGAAGCTGCCCACGAGAAGAAGTGGTGTCCAGGACCTGAAAATGTTGCCAGTCCTTTCCCACACGCCAGAACCAACCAGAACACAGGTCAGAAACAAAATCAGAACAACCCGGGTCACAGATAAGCAACAGAATCCAAAGGAAAGAAAAAAACTATAAAAAATATTACTAAAAAAACGTACGATGATCTCTTCACATCCTAGATCCACATCCACAAAGCATGTGGTTCCGACAACCATTGCCAGAGTAACCTGCAGATGGCGGCCCAGTTCATGGACGAAAACCAGGAAGCCTTGGTCAGGTGAGATTCTCAGTGAAGTCCTGCTGGAATAAAACAGACTGGACCTAAAAAACCAAGGGGTGCTGGTTCTGAACTGGACTGATGATGTGGTTTGTGTTGGGTTCAAAGAAAGAACGTGGTTCTTCGCCACAACACCTCCTTCACCACGTTGATCCTGGAGGTGAACGTCAGCAACGTGCCGTCCACAGATCAACCAGCAGAGGACGCTCATGGTGCTGTTCTGAATGTTAGCTCTTCACCCTGCCTCGTCTACTCGGGAGTCAGAACCAAGGTACCATCCTGGATCTTCTTCCTGGTGCCACAGACCTTTAGAAGAACGTTAAGAGCTAAACACTCACTTTTCTTCTTCATCCTCTCAGGGTGAAGCTGTGACATCATCAGTGACCTGTTGGCTCCAGGAGATGGTTCTGCTCTGTGACCTGGGAAACCCGTTCAGAAAGAACCAGCAGGTTAGAGCAACATAAACAGCAGAGAAATAAGACAATTTCCAGAGACCGAATGTTCTATAAATGTTTTCAGGTTCAGATATTGATCATCTTCCAGTTGAAGACCAATCTGGAGGCCAGAGAAGTCCAAAGTGTTCTGCAGCTACAGACGTGAGTCTCTCACACACACACACACACAAACAGACGGACAAATAGCCAGTTACAAGCATGCGTGTGTTTCTGTGTGTGTGTCTCAGTCTCAGTGAACAGCCTCCTGTGTCTCCTCTCCTCGTCTCTTTGCTGCTGGACTTTTGGCTCCAGCCTTCACTCCAACTGTACGACTTTACTTTTTTTATAAATCAAAAATTTTAACAATTTATTGTAAAGTTTTGGGTTGTTTTTTTTTTACCTGTGGCTGACAAACGTCATTAGCAGTTTGTTAACGACAGGCTCAGACGGCCTGGCCCCGCCTTCTATCAAAGTCATGTGACGAGTGAACCCGCTCTGAAAAAGACGGAGGACATTGGTGCTCAGCTGATCTACGTCCTTCAGGTGAGGCAACGACTACAACTGTATGTACTCCGACAGCCACACCTGTAACCCTGCCTGTCTCCTCTCACAGGTAGATGTGGAAACCTCACTGCCCAGTCACCTTGGCCGTCTGCAGCTGCGATTTGATTGGCCGAGGGCTGTTTCCAGTGGGAAGCAGCTAATGTATGTGACACAGATCCTGGTGGACAGTGATACTGAGCCTCGCTGCCGTCCTGACAATATCATCAACCCCCTCAACCTGATAGTAACCACGGAAACACACAGTCCATCAGATAAGTAAGGTGACTCTGGGGTTTTGTTTTGACTGGTGTCTTCTTCTTCTTCTTTTTATTCCTGTTTGCTCAGCTGTCGGAGGAGGACCAGAAAAGGACAAAACAGAGTCTGGATCAGGAGGTGGAGCCTGTTCATTATCGACACACAAACCGGACACAAAGCGGACAAACAAAGTCTTACAGCCTAGTGAGTACTGCGGGCAAACAGTAGAGGGCACAGTGACGCGGGTCAGAGTGTTGATCGTTGTCTGTCTCTACAGGACTGTGAGCATGGAGCCCAGTGTGTAACTTTCACGTGTCCTCTGCTGGAGCTGAAGAACTCAGCTACTGTAACGGTTTGGGCCCGACTCTGGAGTTCCACCATGATTGAGGTACCGATTCTCTGAAACCCGTTGTTTGCAGCCAATCTTCCAATCAGCCACTGCTGTTTGCCTGCCCCCTGGTGTCCATCCGCTGAGTAACCTTGTCAGGTTTATATTTCAGGATTTTGCTGATGCCAGGATGGTTTTGGTTCGAGGTCGAGTGACTCTAGAACTTCAAACAAACAAGACCAACATTAGGATGGAGTCTCAGCGCATTGAGGTGACTCACTGCTGCCCTCTGTTGACAGTGCTCCTCCACGTGAGTAATCTCTCTCTGGGCTTGAGTTTTACTTGAGTCACGTGTTCCTCCACAGATCCAGGTACGGGTTTATCCGGAGTTTACACAACAGTTGGACTCCGGCGCCCTCCCATGGCTGCTGCTGCTCTCTGCACTCGTTGGAGTCTCCCTGCTGACTATAATCGCTCTGCTGCTCTGGAAGGTAAATGTCTCTACCTGATGGTCACAGTGGGCTCTCCAAAAAAAACAGAATTAGAAGGAGAGAGTCAATCAGTCCAACAAACTAATTGTCTTTAACTTTCCTTTGCAGTGTGGGTTCTTTGAGCGTCACAAGGCGGCGATCTACCAGGGGAGGATTGAGATTAAAGGGGAAATCCTGGACAAGTCCTTGGCGCCTGACCACGCCCCCTACCCGCCAAAACATGGAGTCACTTCGTGATCGTGCCGTTGTGTTTGCGGGTTGTTTCGTTGTCATTGTTGGTGTGTATTCCTGTTGATCGGTGCCTGGTTTTGTCTCCTGTGATGTCATGATGTCACACTGAGGCAGAGCTAAAAGTTTGCCACGTTGAGTCTGGTGTTTACAGTAGGTGTCTGTGATTTGTAATCCTGTTGTGTATACTGTACTGTACAACACGCTGTCGTGATGCCTTTAGGGTTTACAGTGAGGAATTTCACAAAGCTCCAGTTAATGTTGGAATTTAGATTCTGTTGTTTAGAAAATGTTTAGAATACTGTTTTTTATGTGTTTTGCTAAAAGACAATGCTGAACTTCAGGAGTTAAAAAAATAGAGAACATTTATTGATAACAAACCAACAAGAAAGAATTAGATGAGCGGAGCTGTGGAGGCCAGTGATGTTCAGACACACGTGACCCAGAAGTTACGGTACCGTCAGATCCCAGCCATCATCATCATTCTGCTCTTCGTCAAGATCAAAGCAATTCACCTGGAGCACGAAAGCAACAATTAGCGCCTGATGTGTTTTAACCCTTTAGGTTTTCTCTACATTCAGAATAATCTCAAAAGCAGTTTTAAAGTAGTTTCTCCTCTGATCCAAGAAGCTTCGTCAGTTCTACTGTCCTGGTGGGAGGTTTCCAGGTGGTTATCTATCCATCACAAAGGGGGTGTGGTGTCGAGTAAAGTGGTAACGTGAGTTGTTGGCCCTATGGTGGATCGTTCCCTCTACCTGTCCTCAGAGTTACCTCAATGGAGGTTTGAATTATGGCTGCACTTCCTGGGGAGAGCACTAAGGACAGCATTGTAGGTAAGTGATAGTTGGTGTCTGGGGGGTGGGGGGCAACCACCATAGGGCCAACGACTCACATGACCAATTAAAGGTCATATTGTCCGGTCCATGGCCACTTTACGCGATCCCACACCCCTCCTTTGGGGTGGATAGATACCTGAAACTCCCCACCTGGACAGTAGGACTGACGAAGCCTCTTGGATCAGAGGAGAAATGTCTTCAACTCACTCCAGGTGAGTCCAGGTGCCTACTTTAAAACTGCTTTTTAGATTATTATTATTATAACCTGGATGACTGAGCATATCTACAGGTATGTACATTCAGAATGTGTAGCTAATATGATAGCACTTTAGCCCCAGTGATAAAATGTTAAACGTTAGCAACTGATCAACTGAGAAATCACTGCAAAACGATAATGACTGATAACTGATCAATAAAACTGTCAAGTCTTGATGAAACATCTACAACATAAATGTGTCATTAATAATAATAAAAGTGCTGCCTCACCTGAAGAGCGCCCACTATCTGCTCCTGCTGGAACTGATCTGATGACTGTTTCATTTCCACTGCCAATTTTCCGTTTCCTGCAAAAACAAAAACAACTTCCTGTGATGTCATCAAAAAAACAGGCACATAAATGATGTGTGTCAGTGGACCAGTACTCACCTAATAAGATGAGCAGGACGTTGGCGAAGGCGTGGCCTAGAGCTTTGTCTGTGACCCGCTTCAGGAGCCGGCTACGAAGCTGCGGTAGCGTTTCAGCACCTGAAACCCACAAACAGACACACACAGGCACAGAGTGTGTGAGGTGGGTGTTTTAATGTGATTAGACCAGCGGTGCCCAAACTGTTCCACAAAGGGCTGCTGTGGCTGCAGGTTTTTGTTCCAACCAAGCAGTAGCACACCTGAGTTGACAGGTTTAATCAACTGGTCTCAGTCTTCAGACAGCTGATTGGTCAAACTATGTGCTCTTGGTTGGTTGGAACACAAATCTGCAGCCACACGACCCTTTGAGGAACAGTTTGGGCATGCCTGGATAGGACAGTGTGATCATGGCTTACCTGTGCTACTCAAGGATTCCTCCACTACAGCACCCCCTCTAGTGGTCTGACTGTGTTTGGGGAAGGACAACTGCAGGATGCAACCAATCCGTAGCCTACTCGTACTGACTCCACCCTCTTCTTGGTCGCCATCCTGGTCAGTAAGCTCTTTCAGCTGAGGACGACACCCATAGTAAGTCAGGTGACCTCAGACCCACTCTGGGTCTGTGTGGAAGTGAACACTCACTGTGATGATGTCAGAGGTCCAGCCATTGAAGCCCAGGTAGTGATTGGCTAGATTTCTGCAGTGGGCGGGGCTGAGGGGCCTGTTACTCATAGACTGTACGCGAGACGCCTGTTGGGACCCGAGCTTCACCTGAGGACACACACACAGAGAGGTTGTAACCCATGCAGTGGGCTGCAGTCTACACAGTTAACACAAGTGACACAGTCATTCAGTCCAAGATGATTGCCTCGGTCACATGTCTCACCAATATACACCACCTTCTTAACCCTTGTGCGGTCCTATTGGGTCTAGGTGACCTGGGGGTCACCTGGACCCAATATGTCTTTGTGTGTGTGTGTGCGCGCGCATGTACTGCATGACTTGTGCCAACTTTTCCTCATATTCTGGCACAAGATGAAAATCATTGCAAGGACAAACGGTGTGTACAAAAATGCGAAGGACCGCACAAGGGTTAAGAGGTCTGTTCCGGCCACTAACACATAATACATCACCGCTAAAATACCAGGTTTTTATGCCGGTCGTATCATTACATTTAGTTGTATTTATTCGCCACACCTTAAAGACCGGTCCACGAAAAACATTTCAGACATTTAACTGGTTGTGGAACGCTGCCTTAAACAGAATAATAAACAAAGAAAACGACTCAGACCTTCAGCTGTGGGCTGTGCAGCAGTGGATGGCCGTGGGTGCAGCGCTGCGCCTCTGCAGCCTGAACAGCAGAGTAAAACTTCACCACAGCCATGTGGCCAGGAGGGTGGAGCTCGAGGTCGGAGGTCACCTTCACCAAGTAGAGAGGACCAAATGATGAAAAGACACTCCATACGTTGTTCTGAAGAGGGAAACAGAAACAAACAGTTAGACACAAACACAGACAAACAGAGACACAAACAGAGACTAATACACAAATAGAAAATGTACAGACTTGACGACAGAAGTCGAGGTGTGTGATTCTGAGTGCACGCTGTGCTTACACCCCACAAGTTGGACGTCAGATAGAAGGGAAAGGGGAATTTGGAGCAAGTGAGAGCAGGGGTGTCAAACTCAAATTCACCAAAATTAAAACTGTGACAAAGTTGGAGGCCGAACTTAATATTTATTGAAAAAGTGACTGCTCTAGATAGTTTTCCGATGACGTCACGCTACTACCCATAGTTCCGTGGTCCGCCATCTTGTGCGGCAAAAGAGCGTATAGATAGATATTAAATACATAAAAGAACACCGATAATGGTAAATACCTGTGTTGTGTGGGGTTTTACCAACTGATCTGGGAATGGAGATCGCAAGTTAAAGTTTTCTGACATAAAGCGATCTGTCACCGAGGGAAGCTGACGGAGGATATTTCGACGGAAAGAAGAATGCTGTGGCTTTTACGTATTAGCCGTGCTAATTTCAACCCAGATCCAAGCAAAAGGCATTACAACGTCTGTTCTGAACACTTAATTTTGGGTAATTACATTATACTTTTATTTAATTCACATGTTCAATGTCAATAAAATTAAAATATATCAAAATGTACTTTGCATACATGACAAATGCACACAATGCAAACGTAAATCCTCCATGTAAACTGTTATTCTAATGATGTTCACAAAAGACATACATCCGTACATGCCACTGTGATTTTTACAACACGCTGTATTATTGTGTTAATAAATACCGTCTTCCTCCCCACCTCTATTCCACTGAAACATGCAACTCCTTACTAGACTTTTTCAACAACAAAATACTCAACATCCACCATCACCTTCATCATAACATGCCAGTTCTCATCCCGCCTGAGCCCCCTCTTCCATGCCACCTCTTCTCAAGTTTCCTCCTTCCTACTACTTCTGAAATCTCGGACCTCATCATCAAGTCTAAACCCACCACCTGCCAACTCGACCCCCTCCCCACAACGCTGGTCAAATCCTGCCTCCCCTCTCTGCTCCCCCACATTTCTGCTATTATCCACTCCTCCCTCAGCAATGGTATAGTCCCCTCACTTCTTAAAACCGCTGCCGTCACCCCCATCTTGAAAAAACCTGGTTCAGACCCCAACCTCTACGATAACCTCCGCCCAATCTCAAATCTTCCTTACATTTCCAAAATCCTAGAAAAAACTGTTGCCTCCCAACTCCACTCCCACTTATCCCACCACTCACTTTACGAGCCCTTTCAATCTGGTTTCCGCCCCCGCCACAGCACAGAGACAGCCCTCCTCAAAATTACAAATGACCTCCTCACTTCAGTTGACTCTGGTTCCTTATCCATTCTCATCCTCCTCGATCTGAGCGCCGCTTTTGACACCATCTCACACCCCATTCTCCTCAATAGACTCGCTTCCATTGGTCTCTCTCACACACCCCTCACCTGGTTCCGCTCTTACCTCACTGGCCGCACTCAATATGTCCAACTCAGATCCTTCACTTCAAAACTCTCCCCTGTCACCACAGGTGTGACCCAGGGCCTCTTCTTTTTATCATATACACATTCTACACACATTCAACATCCATTTCCACTGCTATACGGATGACACCCAGCTCTACCTCTCCTGCAAACCCAACTCCACACTCCCACCCCCCTCCCTCACCACCTGCCTCTCTGAACTTAAATCCTGCTTCACTGCAAATTTTCTCAAATTAAACTGCAATAAAACTGAAATCCTCCTTCTTGGCACCAGAACTACTCTTTCTAAAGTCAACAGCTTCGCCCTCACCATTGACCTTTCCACAGTTTCCCCCTCCCCTCAGGTAAAGAGTCTGGGTGTCATCCTTGACAGCACACTCTCCTATCAGGCTCATATAAACTCTTCAACCCGCACAAGCCTATTTCCACCTCCGCAACATCAACAAACTCCGCCCTTCCCTTACCCCTCACACCGCCGCTATCCTTGTACACAGCCTCGTCACTTCCCGTCTCGATTATTGTAACTCCCTCCTCTACGGCCTCCACCAAAAGTCTCTCCATAAACTCCAGCTAGTCCAAAACGCAGCCGCCCGTATCATCACAAAGACCCCTTCCCACCATCACATCACCCCTGTCCTCCAACATCTTCCCATCTCTGGAACGCATTACCACCCGATCTCCGTAACTGTGACTCTCTCCCCACCTTCAAAACTCACCTCAAAACACACCTGTTCCGGACAGCATACTCCCTCTAACATCCCTCCTCCGTGCTTTTGTTTATCATTGATTTTAAACATGTTTCTATGCCCTGTTTTAAATGATTATCTGTTTTTTTTTTATTTTATGTAAAGTGTCCTTGAGTGACCTGAAAGGCGCTTTTTAAATAAAATGTATTATTATTATTATTATCATCCGTTATTTTCAACTTGTCCAAGTATCTTGCCTTTGTAATTGTGTCCAGTTAATCTCTATACAACAATTTCATCTGATCGACCTCCGACGATTTAATATTCTTGTCTTTTGTTGTCATTATCGATTGTTTACGTCTACCTATTCGCGTCTCTTGCCGCACAACATGGCCAACGGCACGATGTATCATGGGTAATAACAATTATCTGAAAACCATCTATTGTTCATGTTTCCTTTCCTTCTCTGCAGATAAGTAATGCAGAATTCTTACAGGGCTATATTCTTATATATAGTGCTATATACTGGTGGGCCAACTCTAGTACAGATTTGATATGATCTCATGGGACAAATAAAATTACAGTGTGCACCAGATTTGGACCCCGGGCCTGAGTTTGACACATGTGAGCTAGATTAAGTGGCAAGAGGTGAGCCCTGGGGGGGGGGAGGATAATTACGGACAGAAATGTCTGTTGTCAATACTTCCAGTCGAGGTCAGAAGTTTACATACACTAAAGCAAAAATGATAACCCAATTTGCCACACAATTTGAATGAAGACATATATGTGGTTATTCAATAATAGTGTCTTCGTTATTCTGCCAATGGAGTAGATCAGAATTTCTGACCTCAGATAGATATTTAGTTGATTTCCCCAAATAGCCACAGATTCTTGTGGTTCATATGTTTACATACACATCTGGTCCATTTAACAGTAAATTAGTTGAACTTGAAGGCTGTACAATCATTCATGGAATCATCCCTTTAGTCTGGTGTTCATTCATGTTGTGTAAAAGCCAAGGTGTAGAAATGATGGGGCATAAAAGCAGCTTGACTTTACATACACACTGCATTTTGACTTCAGACTTGCAATGGGAAAGTCAAAAGAATACAGCCATGACATCAGGGAGAGAACAAATATAAGATGAATAGAATATAAGATTATGACCCGGTTAAAAAAAGCAGTGTTCTGCAAAGAAATATTAATAAATCTCAAATTATGAGGAAGCTTAGCCTTTTCTTTTAATTTCCCAAAAGCATTATTCCTAGGGCATTGTGGATGCCAGTTTATTCATGATTCAAGTGTGTAACTTGAACTTTGCATGAGATTTAGTATAGACACATGTACTGTATGTAAACTTCTGACCTCGACTGTATTTTAGAAAGAGGGAGAATGGAAGTAAGCACAGGTAGATGACGTCACGTACAGTAAAGCGTTGTCGGGAGAACATAGTTCTGTCGTAGTTTAGCAGCACAGGGTGGTTGTGTGTAAGGTAACGAAGTGAGAAAAAGAAGAGGAAGACAGTAAAGACAGACATTACACTTTGATTAAGGTCAACGGACTTACGTGGATCTGGATCTCACTCAGACTGGACCGCATGTTCCATACGAAAAGAGTTTTGTCGTTTTCCTTTGGGACCACAAACTCCACGATTTCGACGTCCATGACGCTCAGCCGTTTATGTGTAGTTGGAACATTGCAAGTTTTCTAATGTTCGAATTTGGACACGGATAAAAGAGTATAAGCGAAACAAACAAACAAACCAAACAAATCCTAGTTTCCCGCCTTACGCATGCGCCGAAACGTTTTCCGTTTCCGGGTTTACTTCCAGGTCCTCTGGGAATTTGGAATGAGCTGTGCCCGTGTCACAAAACTCACCGATACACCGTGATGCCGTGAATAGGGCCCCGTGAACGGATAGCTATCAAAATGGCGAGTTAAACTAGAAACATTTAATTTTATTCGAGCAAAAACCCAACAATGTTAATATGAAAACGAAACGAACAGTTCCATGTTATCTCACACTAAAATAACACCAAACCAATTGTCAACTCAAAGGAGACCAGTTCATTTTCGGTTTATTTCGAAATTACGTCAGAAGAAAACTAAAACTCCCACGAAATAATAGAGTATTCATACATGGGCAGTTATCATCGTGTAGACTAATACCAAAGCTCACTTTTCTCACAGGACTGGTCTGAATTAGCTTTTACATATTAAAAGTTTACATCGATCCTGTTTAACTAAGTTCCTGTCCCCTGTGAGTGGTTCACTTGATTATTTGGCCTCTGGATACAATATTATCACATGTAAAACATATTCAGTAAATATATTTTTTGGAAGGGAAATTAATCCGGTTATTACTACTTTTACAAATATATGTTTTATTTTTCATTTTTGTTTGACTTCTGGGATGATTAATATAAATGATTAAAAATGACAATATAAATTATTAATAAAGTATATACACTCTGATGTGACATAATGCTTGTGTGTGTTTGTGCCTCTGACCTCAACACCTGGTGTCTGCCTCCAACGTGAAAGTGATGACGTCAAGAAAGAAGAACAGAAGAAACACGAACTTTGAAAAAAAAAAAAAAATCAAGTTAGAAATGATGTTGATGTGTAATTTGTAGTTGTTTGTGTGCGTGCGTGTGTGTGTGTCTGTAGGGAATCAGTGGGACTTTCTCTTTTTTCTTTTGTCACTTTTCTCTTTCCACCTTCATCATTCAAAAGTCCTGACTCCAGCTCTGTCTCACACAAACACCTTCACACACCTTCACAGTCACACCACCATGCTCATGCACAGCTCTGTCCTCGTCCTTTTGAGCCACCTGACGGTGGCGCTGTGCTGTGATTCGCTCACACAGTACAGTCACTACAGCAGCATTTCGCTGAAATTGGTGGACAACATGGTGAGTACTCCAGGTCCAGGAGGACAACTGGTCCTGGAGCGTTCAATCTGGTTTACACTATGGTTTTCTGTGCAGCATCAGTTTATCAAAAGCCAAACACAAATCACGTGTTGGACTTTTGATGGATGTAGTGTGTGTGTGTGTGTGTGTGTGTGTGTGTCCTACAGGGTGGTCAGCTCAGTGGCCAGGATCCTCCAGTTTACTTCCCGTACAGACTCTACAGACGCATACGATGCAGTAGGGTAATAAATCAATGGATTAATCAATCAATCAACCAACCAACCAAGAATTTCAAAATGACAGATGTCATCAGGCGATGATTTCACCAACAAATGATAATGATGTCATCAACAGGAAGAACGTCAGCTGAGCTTTGTCAGAGAAAGTCTGGAGTTGATCTTCGACCTTTATCGCACTAACAACACATATCCTGCGACCTGGGAGAAAAACACGATTCAGCACTTTCTCATCAGCCTCGAGCGGCTGATGGACACCCTTGACCAGTGTGTGAGTAACAAGTACCAGTGTGTAACTAACGAGTACAACTCCACTGTCTAGTAACAGTACTGCCACTAATTACTAATCAGCATCATTAATAATCAGTTCTTTTTCACTGGCGTTTTTCCTTTTCAGGTGTCAAAGAAGAAAGGCAGAAACATCAAACTGAGAAAGTACTACAGGAAGCTGATCAAAAGAACTGTGCACGCCACTGTGAGTATCAGCACTGGTGTTAGCCCAAACTACCTTCTCACTAACTGTAGTACAGATTGGATCAACTTGCTGAAGCAGTGACTCCTGCTCTAACTGTAATACCCATTATGTCCACAGCACGGCAGCAGTGAGTCGTGGAAGTTCGTCATGAGCGAAACCAAAACTCACTTGGAACAGTTACATCTGCTCGTCTCATTCATTCAGTTCATAAAAGGGGCGCGATGTTCACGACTGCACTAACTTTAACTGGAATTAATGATGGACAGATTTTATTGTTATTTATTTTATATATTTAAGACTGTTTTTTACCAATTATTTATTGGATAATTTACTTATTTATTTGTAACTTTTGTGCCACGGAAAATAAAATAATCTTGAGTGGGAGGAAGTCTACGTTTATGGGAGACTGGGTGGCAGAAACATGTGGTCTGATGTAGATCTATTTGATGGAAATGGAAAAATAAATGAAGTGAACTCTTCAAACCAAATACCTACTACTTGAATTTATTTTTAAAAAACATTTAAATTAGTGGTTAATAATAGATTGGTTAATAATAACCACTTAGTTATCAGTATAAATCTGTAAAAGTCTCTCCACAGCCTAACACTGTTCAGTTCTATAAAAATACATTTCTGGTCTTCAAAAAATATATACTCTGAAGTGATCCTTAAAGGTAAAAAATGTGAATTTTAACTAATATTTTAAATTGAATCTGAATCTTAAATAAGTCCATGATATTAAATACTGTTTTAAACGTAAACCCATCAAAGTTAATACTCATTAATTCATACATTAATGTATTCATCACCGTGGGGTTGAAGCTTCAATCAAAAACCAGTAAAAGATGAAAGGCTGCCTCTGTTGGTTCTAGTCCTGTGACTGAACGTAGCTTTCTGGGAAGAAGCCCTGGTTTCCATCCAGAAATCCTTGGCACCAACCGTCACTGTGGCGATGCGTCAGGTAGACAACGTCACCCTCAGTCAGTGTCAGCTCCTCAGGGTTTGCGGCCGTGTAGCTGTACAGCGCCACCACTGGAGAGACAAGGAAATGCAGTTAGAGCAAAGACAAGAAACGGGACAATATACTGCTGTAGCAGTAGCAAGAGTTGAACCAACACTAGCATATATGCTAACAAGAGCTATGTTAACGAATTCTATTCTAAGCCACATTAGCAGTCGTAGCATTGTAGCAGCTGATTGTACTGATTGTATTCTTGGCAATATTAGTAACAGAAGCATTAACAATAATTTAATTATCGACTTTAGTACCTTTCTCCAGATAATGTGGCTCGGCGTCGCTATCGTTAACCAGTGGCGGAGGGAAGGAACTTGTGATGTCATCGAACTCTTCTACATCCAAGGAGAGAGGAGGAGGCAGGAGAGGAATCTCCAGATCTACAGGAACAACAGCAGCAGCTGTGAGTGATACTCGCTGCAAGTACTGAGGCTGCTACAAGTACTGCACCTACTACAAGTACTGAGGCTGCTACAAGTACTACATCTACTGTAAGTACTGAGGCTGCTACAAGTACTGCATCTACTGCAAGTACTGAGGCTGCTACGAATGTTACTTCTGTTACAGTTACTACATTTGCTACACATACTACGTCCGCTATTAATACTACATCCACTACAGCCACTTCAAGCACATGTACACAGTACTACCTCAACTATGAGTACTGTGTCTACCATTTACTGCCCATTAATCGTTCTTACCCAGGTGTTGCAGGTGAGCAGGTAGGCGGGGTCTAGCTGCAGAATGGGCGTGATCAAGAGGAGCACACGGGGGCGGGTAAGGGGGAGGGGGCGGGATCATGACTGACAGACAGGTGGAGGAGGGGAAGTCAGACTCCAAGATTATCATAAATTAATAAATTGTAAATCTTCCTCCGCAACCAGCTGGACTACAGACTGTCCTGTTAGACTAAGGACCTTCCTGGTGAACTACAGACAGTTGTGATGGACTACAGACTGTCCTGCACCCCGACATTTCCCAGAATCCTACACTGACAGACTGTCGCAGACAAAAGTGAAACAAAGTTTTGTTTGTTAACCAATGAGTTACATTAACGCTGACACCAGGGAAGTCAAAAAAAAAAAAAACAACAGTAATGGAACATCGGAGGAACAGATCCAACCTTCACCAACTGAAAGACCTGATTTTCAACATAGACCAATTACAACAGCAGAGGGCACCCTCTCTGTGCTTACAGGGTTGAACAGCAGGCAGGAAGAAAGAGCGAGTGTTGAGAGAGCGGGAGGCGGGGCCTGAGCGTACACGCAGTGAGAGAGAGCGCATAGCTGGCACCGAGCAACGGTGGCGGCTCCTCCTAGAGGAGGAGCTGGGGACTGCAAAAACAAAGGGGAAAAAAGACAACATAAAAAAATGGAGTAGACAGAGCGAATAGAAGGAACAAGCAAAATAAAAAGAAAACAAACAAGACAAGAGTGCTAAAAAACAGACGGGACTAAAAGCAAGAGCACAAGCAAAAAATTATATGTTGAGAATAAGAGCGAGAGCATCACCATCTAGTTCCTGAGGAGGCGGAGGAGGGGGCGGGGCTGGCAGCTCGTCGTCTCCATTGGACAGTGAATAGAACATGACCTCATCAGCAGGAGGTGGCGGGGGTGAGGGAGGCAGGGAACTGCTTTCCTCCACCACTAGGTGGCCAACAGAGAAGCGATGTCATAGTAATGTCATCATCAGTGTGACTAATAATTTGCTGACGCAGGTTGGTCACTCACCTGTCTCCAGGTGGAGGGGAGGGGCTGGTGGAACATCTGAAGGCGGCTGCGGTGTTATGATGTCATCGAAATCAGAAGGAGGAGGAGGTGGTGGAGGCAGGGCAGGGGTGTTCATGAAATCATCAACCTGAGCTGTGATCTCATCCTGGGCAGGAAGAGGAGGGGCATCATTCAACACTGACGTGATGATGTCATCAGGAGGATTAGCCAGCAGAGTGGTGGGAATTGTGGGTGGAGCCACAGGTTTTCCAAAACTGGAGCTAAGAGACGAGATGATGATGAGAATCAGTGACAAAAGCTGAAAGTATAAGATACTGTGATCAACGTGAGTTATTATAAACTGGCTGAGCTGCAGCGACTCCCCCTGCTGGCTGAGCCTACGACGTATTTATTTTTTACAATCCAGGAGTCTGCAAGATTTTTTTCTCCTTTTATCTTTTGCCAATTGTCTTTTCTGCCAGTTTTTTGTGTTTTTGTATTTTTCTTTTTGTTGCTTTTCACATTTTATGCAACGTCTTGTTCTGGATTTTGGCACTTGTTGTTCTGTTTAGTTTTTATATTGAGGCGCAGCCAGAGGATTACCTGCCAGCAGGCGACACTGAGCACTGTTCTGGCTCTGGAGCTTTGTTAGACCTGGAAACACACACACCCACACAGTTATTTCCTGTTATTATCCTTTTTGAATTACTCCAGAAAAATAAAGGTGAACCTGAAGGAGGCGCTAAATTGACAGATGCTTTCTGTTTTGTCCTTCTTTCCAGAGACCTTGGGGGAGGAGGGTAGAGGGTTGGGGGACAGAGGGGGAGAGGGGGGGGCAGAGAGAGAGAGAGACCCTAATGAGTGAGTGCCACAGTTTCCCACGCTGAACAAAGGCTGTACGAGTGCATGTGTTTTTGTGTGTCTGTGTGTTTGTGCCTAAATGAGGAACTTTGTTCCTGTGGTTTCACTGCAGCGCGCACATTTCCTGTTCACGACTTCACTGCTTCTGAAAAGGGCACTGACACTTTCTGCGTGTTAGTCTCACCTTCACACCATGGCCAAGGTGGTCCAGCATCTGGAAGTTGATTGGCTGGCGACTGTAAGTAGGGCGTTTCTGGACACCTGCAGGAGTCGAAGCAGGAGGAAGGACCTTCATGCCACGTGGAAGTCGTCGCACAGACGTGAAAACACCGATCTCCCTCCGTGACACTTTCTCCTTGTGCATCTCCACTGTCTGGGGGACGGAGGGAGGGATGGGGGGGGGTTAGGGTAAAGGAGGAGGACGAACATAAATCCTGATGGAGTCTGAACCTCCTACACCTCAGTGCTTTTGTTTATAATCAATCATTTGGGGCTGTAACCAAACAGAGAATTCAAAATGGAGCCTAACGCTCAAAGGGTGAGAATAAATGTTTCCCTTTATAAGAAAAAGGGAGCAAAACAGACAAAAGTAACTTGAAAATTGGTCTGTTCACAAGTTCACATTCTCTCACAAAAGTCCAATGTGTCCTGAAGTGTCAGTTTGTCATGGTAAATCTAAACAAATTATTTTAAACATAAAATACCACATTTGAACGAAGGATTTTCTTGGTGGTGTGAGAGAGAGTGAGTGGTTGCTGTTGTAAGTCTGTCTAACACCAAGATAAAGACGTGAACAGAATGTAAATAAATGTCTGTTTTAACCCACACTCTTAAAGAAAACATGGGCTGTTCCTTTAAATCTCAGAGCAGTTGTTTGTTCATTAAACAAAGACAGAAAACAGAGCCTCTATTCATCCACTGACACACACACACACACAGATTCATCAGCTGTGTGCTTTAGTGTGTGTGCACCACTTAGCCTAACCTGTCCAATGAGGTTGATGGACGACTCCATACGACACAGCTGATTGGTCTGAGCCTCAAGCAGACTCAGCACATTATTGGCCAGAGTGCTGATCTGGTAGGCGATGCTGGCCAGTGACTGGGTGGTGAAGTTCTTGGTCTCCTCTAGCGCCACCGTACTGTTGTCACCTGACTGATGACATCACATCCTTACTTCAAGAAAAGTCAAAACAGCATTACTGGTAGCAATTAGTATAAACAGTTGCAACGTTGACATTGGTGGTAATGGTAGCAGCGTTAGCATAAATTGCAGTATTCACACTTACCTGAACGCAATAGTAGCATTAGCATAAGTGGGTAATGTTTAATTAGCCCAGTGGTTGTAGTAAAAGCATGAGGAAACGCAGCATTAGCATTGAAAGCAGTGAAACACATGCAGTAAAAAGATCAATATTAGCACGAGACGCAGTTGTAGCATCTCTGCATGAGCTGCAGTGGAGGAAGCCATGTCACTGGGATTCATAGCATAGCATCAGCAATAGTCATATACACAAGGATAACTCTAGCAAAAGGTGGTGTGATTAGCATGAGTCACAGTGGGGTTGGGGGGGGGGGTGTTACATCAGCATTAACTGCGTTACTACCAGCAGTGATGTTTGTGGCGGGACCAACACCTGTGGTGTTAGGAGCTAAAGCAAGACAAGGGTTAGCACAAGTTACCAGAAGTCACCTGCAAGTAGTTGTCGTGGCAGAACTGCGCCACCTTCAGCAGATTTGTGTAATTGTCCACCAGAGCTTTTCTGGCGGTCGGAGCATCACCCAGAATCTGGGTCACGACCTGATCACTGTTCTGGTTCTTCATGATCACAGTCTGAAAGTAACCAAATATTAAACAACATTTAAAATTCATCATTCAAAAAAAAAAAGACACTGTAGTTTAATAATTTATCCATTCACTCACATTCACCCCAGTTCACTCACAGTGGTGTGAAATCAGAAGATCTGTGGAGTTCAGCCGGGGAGTTC